CTGATTGCTGTGGCCAACACTTCCAAAACTATGTTGAATAGTAGTGGTGAGAGTGGGCACCCTTGTCTTGTTCCTGATTTCAGGGGAAATGCTTTCAATTTTTCACCATTGAGGGTGATAAAAGCATGCTTCTTTTGCAGTCCTCTCAAGGGGACTTTTCTCCAACAATATACAGACCAGTGCTTCGCAAATGGTAAATCGCAACCTATTTCTGGTGGCTCAGAGGTTAAAACGTCTGCCCACAATGTGGGAGACCTGGGTTCAATCCCTGGGTAGGGAAGATGCCCTGGAGAAGGAAATGACAACCCACTCTAGTATTCTTGCCTGGAGAATCGCATGGACGGAGGAGCCTGGTAGGCTACAGTCCACAGGGTCGCAAAGATTCGGACCTGACAGCGACTGTACTTTCACTTTTCACTTTCATGGTTTATGAAATCAATTTATTGGGTAGGAAATAAAAAAACTTTTAAAATAAATAGAAAAATATCAGCATATAAGGTATTGTTCTATGAAAGTAAGCTATTTTTTCAAGTATATAAATGATGACTTTCAAATATACGGGTTTTTTTTCCAAATACAATATATGAAATTTGAAAGCCACTGCTTTACACCTTTTAGGGTTAGAAGTAGAATAAATACACTCTTTGCTCTTTATTACGGTCTCAAGTACCACTTCCCTCCTTTCTCCCTAAGTAATGTCCTGCTCATTTGAGACATCAGGCCATTCCACACATTACCCTTCCTTTTTATTATCACCTACCATAGTCCTGGTCATTCTCCTTCTTTCATTAACAACTCCCTCAACTAGCTTGCTATCTTACTCTATGTAACCTCATCATCATTCATGGTAGTATCCATGTAGATGACCCATCTTATGCCCTGGGTTCAACTGTGCAAGCATGATCATTAAAATACTGAAACATTTTCATTGCCACTAGTGCCTCCAGGACCCTGCACCGAACTACAAGCTACTTCATTTTAATGAACCCATGCCCACACTAGTACTGGTAGTTAAATATTTTGATTACTATCCCCACTAATATCCAGCTTCTCCATTCCTTGACTTTCTCTTACCTTAAATAATCTTGTCCACAACCTCAGTCATTCACTTTTACAGTCATACCCTATATCTAGTTATTACCAATAACTGTAGCCCCTATCCCAAGCTCCAGTTAAAGCTCCCACTCTGCCACCTACATCTTCAGCTCCAATCAATTTGTCTACCTCACTGAGACTCAGGAATAAATTTATTTTTCATCCCATCTTTGCTCTGTCCCACCCTACTAAAGTCCTTTTTTCACCAATTATACAGCTCCATACCTAGGTCTTCATCATTTACTGAATTATTCCTATGCGTTAAATTACCTATTTTGTTGACAGAAAAAAAACCCACAAGATGAGAGTTGTGTGTTAAGTTTTACTTGGAGCAAAATGAGGACTATAGCCTGGGAGACACCCTCTCAGACAGCTCTGAGGAACTGCTTTAAAGAGGTAGGGGGGAGGTCAGTATATACGTGATTTTGCTGAAGGGGGATACATGTATCCAGCAAATACTTTGGCAGGTTACTGCTAGTCACAGAAGGCTGCTGATAGTCACAAGGAGAAAATGTCTTCATTAATGATATTAGTGCTTACCCAGATACGAGAAGATGCAAGAAACTAGGCTCATAAAACCTTCTTCTGAAAATATCTAACTATCTGAAAGCCTGTTCTGCCAGTTTTTCCCAGAGCACAAAGTGCCTCATCCTTGATCTCCACCCTGAAGTCTTTTTAAGATGTGTTGAAGGTCAGTGACAACAGCGGCTAGTGACCTAATCCTTGTAGAGGCAAATGATGAGTGACAATTTTTAGGTGTCAATTTACATTATTTCATTTATTCTTCAGAACAACCCTACAGAGTAGGCATAATGACATTCATTTTATTGATTAGAAAGCAGATATATCTATATAAATCTGCCCAGAATTATAGAAATAAAAAGTGAGGTTCTGCAATTTTAAATATCTGAACTGCTATTTCCTTAAATGTAAATTAGGGATTATTGTTGTTGCTGCTCAGTTGTATCTCTTTGTGAAGACTAGGGATAAAGATGATTAGTCTATCTCCCTGAGTTATTAAGATCACATGTATACAGAGGCACTTTGTAAATTTTAAAGTGCTCTACAAGTACCAGTTTTAATTAACTACTGACTAAGGGTCCCTTACCTTTCTTTCCACAGGAGTCCTACTACAGTTTCCTCGACCTTCCTCTTTCTTTTATAGACACAGACATAGAGGAAGCAAATAACTGCACTGCCCTGTTAGTGAAAACTCATCTCCAACATCAAGCTTCAAAAACTTTGAGTGGAAGAAAAGCAGTGTTATAAATGGTGATTGGGCTCTAATTAGCAATTGGAAGTATGTTTATTACAGTGGAACAGGTTTTTATAAGCCAAGCTGATAATTACAATCAATTGACTAATAAACTCACAACATGATCATAAACTGGTGAACACCTACATTATACTTTTTTTATTCAAACCATGGCAGAACAAGAGTTCAGAAATGAAGGAGCCAAAGATGACAGACAAGAGACTGAGCCTCTTAAGGCCTTTTGAAGTCCTCACAGAGAACTTGGAACCTTAAATGACTGTGACTTCCCTGAGCCCCAAGAAGAATACTGCTGTGTCCTGAGGAACTCTGTACTGTACACACTAGAATCCAGCTTTGGGTCCAACTCATCCCATTCTATTGTTCTGAACTTTATCAACAGGGCAGTCCTTGGTAAAAGAGTCTTAGAATGATATAATTAGACCCATCAGGTATATCTCTTGCTTATGACACTAAATATAGTGACTCTCTATAACTTGACATGGCAAGTTAGAAATCCTTGACCCACTATTCTAATCTTTCTATCATTTTCCTCATTTCATTCCTTCTCTAAATAGGCACATCTGCATATGTTCTTCACCCCACAGCATGTATGTTTCTGCCTTCTGATTCTAGCCAAGATGCTGTTCCTACATCTTGCCTTCGAAGCTGATCCAGTCTTGATCTAAGACCGAAAAGTCTTAAAAAGATGGAATCATCTGCCTGCTACTCCCTGGATGTTTAATTATTCCACCTTACATAGGAATTTGGATTCATCCATGTATCTGTGAAAGGTAAAGTAACACTCTGGTGACAGGTGCACCACATTATAAATCGAGGCCAGAGTTCAATTCCTAATTTTGCCTTTTGGCTCATGAATGCTCTTAAACCCTTGCTGAGATTATATTTACACCTCACAGTTTGCTGACTGATATCTAAAGAGATGGCACATTAAAGCTAATAATAAAGACATTTTATATTTTTCCCCATGATGTTAAAAAAACAAATTTCTGGCATAAAGTAGATGTCTACTAAATATTAATGTCCCATTATTGTGTCATCAGGCCAAAGATGACTATTTTGCCTCCTTTTTCTTTGTTTTTATATAATCTGCCACCACTCCCCAAATATCTCCTTCAAGTAAAGTCAGGTTTAGGTGGTTGATTAATTATTTGTGTGACAGAAGCAATGCTAACCGTTCATCAAACCCCATTGCCTTCTCTACTGGGGTACACACACTTCACAGTCAGCCCCGGCAGTTAGGTGCAGCCATGTAATCATGTACCTGAACCCTGGCTAAGGAAATGGGGTACAAATGATGTATAGCACTTCCAGGGCTGGGCCCTGATACCTCCACCAAGTCAACCCACAGATTAGATGATTCCAAGGCAACAAGGGATGGTGGAGCCACAAAATGGAAGAAACCTGGTCTTTCCATAATTGCAAGGAGCACATGACCCATTTACTGGCCCCAACAAGCCTGCTACACACTGACTTATATGAAACATAAGCTCTTATTATGTTAAATCACTGAGATACTGGTATTGTTAAATACCCAGATTAACATACCTTGTATTTCTCACCTGTGGAAATATAAATGAAAAGAACCTCTGGATTTAGTTTCAGGAACTGAGATATAAATCCTGGCTCTACTACTTCCCCAAAATACCCTATGATCTGCTCTTGAATATGGTCTATATCCTTTTGCAACTGCATGTCTAGCACATTCATTAATGGAGCCCTCCCCACCCTTCTCTCCCTCAAGACTTCTGTCAGGCCTTCTCTGACCTCCCACCCATGCACATTTACTTCTTTGCTCCTAGTGCAAAGTATACTCTTCCACTTTGGCATCTGTTATATTTTTTTGCAAATATTTGTTAACATGTGTTTCCACAGAGTTTTTTAATCCACAGGCAGACAATTCCTTTGGGATCTTTGACTTCCAGGATTTAGTTACAGTACCTGGCACATAGCAAAAATAACTATATATTAAAGGAATGTCTGTCCCCTGTGATCTTAAGTGAGTCACTTGTTAAGCCTATAAAATACAATTGTACAAAATTGATCTGATGACGAAGAATGTGACTTGTAGATTATAAATAGATTCTAAGAGTAGTGTGTTTATTCTGTTTTGTAGCCCCTTTCTCATCTTTTCCAGTCAAATCTATCTTACTGTTTCGAAGTAGCTTTGTCCAATAGAAATACGTAAGCCGCATATACAAACACCTTAGTAGCCATATTTAAAAAGCTAAAAGAAGTAGGTGAAGTGGATTTAAACATTTTAGCTCAACATATTCAAAATATTGCTTATTAGCTATTGTACATTTCGCTACTTTTGTCTTCCGAATTATCTGGCGCGTACGTTACAACACACCTCTGTCTTGACTGTGGCTGGTGGCTCTCGCAAACTGGACAATGCAGCCGCAAGGCCTACTTCAGACACACGTCTCGGGTGAAGTCAACCTCGTTCAGAATTAGTGACCCCTCCTCAATGCTCTCTCAGCCCCTTATCATCACCGTCATTTTCTTGAAACCTAGAAGGTGAGCTCCTTGAAGAATTCAGACCGTTGTCTCTAGAATTCAGCCTCATAGCAATCGCCGGCGTATAACCAGCGGTTGTTATAATGTCAAGGTAACTAACGATCCCAAGTGCAAAGGAGCTGGCGGGGGGCCGAGTGGCCGGGAGGGAAGATGACCAGTCTGGGAGAGGGCGGGGCTGAGCCACCGCCGTCAGCCGGGATCCGCGCGCTCGGGCCAGCGGCGCCCCGGGGTGGCGGGCGCTGGAGTGCGGGGCTGGGCCGGCCCGGGGGCACCGGAGCCGCAGCCCGTCCCCGCACCGGCCCCTCCCCTCTTAGCGCCGCCGCGGCCGCCGAGCCCCGGAAGCGGGCGGGGATTTCCTGTGCCCGCCCCACCCGCGCCCGCCGGGCCGCCGTCTCCGCCTGTCGCTGGCTCCGCGGACGCCGGCTCCGACGAAGCGAGCGCGGAGGGGAGGGGCAGGCGGCGCCCGGGAGGGAGACACCGGGCTGCAGGCCAAGCCGACCCGGGTGAGTTGGGGCCGGGCAGGCGGGAGTCACGGCTGGAGGGAGGGACACCTGGCTTCCCCGGGCGGCGAGGGGGCCGGTCACCCATGGGGGCGGGGAGGAGGGTCGACGCGGCCTCTGGGTCCCTTGCCATTCCCAGGGTCGGCAGCGCTGACATTCTGTGCCCGCCCCTCTCCTGTCTCTCCGTCCCCAGCGTCGTCGCTGTCAGGCCCCGTGGGTTCCCGCCGCTGTCACCAAGCGCAGGTTTCCCCGTGGCTCCTTTTTCTTCACTTGCTCCTGTCCCAGTTCACGGGCAACCTGTTTTCTGACCTCACTTCCCCTGCTCCAGCTCTGCCTCTCTGAGTTCTCTGAAACCTGACCCTCTCCCGGCACGGAGACAAGGAGGGACGAAGCAACCCAACTCCGGAGTGGGCACCCGTCCCGCCCACACCCCGCCCGGGACCGGGGCCAGGCTTCTCTGACAGCGACTCACCCTGTGCCCTTGGGCTACTACTCATTTCGGTAGCGTGGCCCTTTCTCTGTCCAACAGCACACGCTGCAGAAACCAACTTCTGCAGGTGCCATGCTCCCCTAAGATGTGAAGCAAAAGGGGAAACGAAACTTCTAGAACCCTGACTCCAGTAGGCCTGAGATACATCCTGAAACCAGGAAAATCCAGGTTAGAGCTGACACCTTAACTGCCCAGGTGCTGGCTCCGAGAGCATGCACATCTCAGCAAAGGCAGTCTGAGGATAAGTACCCGCCCCCTCCTTTGCTGAGATTTCTTCCACAGGTTTTCTGTCAGTCTCACATCTGGCCTGCGAAAGAGGCTTCCTATCAAGGGACTCTGCTGCTAGGGTGATGGAGAAATGGATCTCAGATAGGTGTCTATATATTTACCTAGAGGTAAAGCCCTGAAGGAGGACTTTCCAACGAAGCTAGTGGATGAGGAAGACCCTTAGTGAAGAGGGGGAATCCATGCTTTACATATTAGAAGTGAAGAGAACACAGGGGCTGGAATTCATAGGAGAAATCTAAAATGGTACTCCCCCTTTATTGCTTTATTGGGAATTTTCCTTTCTCATGAGAAGTCTCTGAAGAGGAAACCTCCTAAGCTGGGAATTAGTCCAGAATGTTCCCAGGAGGCCCTGAGACATCTTTGGACATCTGAGATGAAAGGGGAATTTGTTCCCTTGCTGTTCATTGAGCTTACAGTTCTCATTTACCTCTCTTGTCAAAGACAGATAGGCAAGAAAATAAACAACTTGACATTTGTCATTATCTGTTCCAGGCTTCTGGGTTCTTGCAAATGTCATTAGATGAATGTGAGTGAGCCAGAACAGTTACCGAGGTTCTGACCTGTTTTTGGAACACTTTCACTGGCTCTGATTGCTTGGGCATTGAATAAGAATCACAAAAATATGATGTTGCCAAGCAAAAAGTGACTTTGCACAGTCTTATAGACTCTTTCTTTGCTGTAAGGCAGGGAGACTGCTATCACAACACAACCTGTCGTGCTCCAAAGAGGTCCAGAGCAAAGAGCCTTCAACTCTGCAGGCTTCAACACTGCAGGATTATTAAGAATTTTTAAATCTTACCTAAATCTATTCTCTTGCAATCAAGAGAAGAGATCTACATAGAGAAAGAAAACGTCTTTCTTTTTATTCATTGGCAGCATCATTCATGAGCCTTCTTCCCAAGGCAAGAGAAGACTAGGTCCATTGTTTTGAACTTTTCCCTAATGGACATATTTCCCATCCCTTTCTTCACTTTTGTTTCTTGTGATGGAATACACTCTGGCTTCACCATACCCTTCTTTAAAATTGAATATGTTTTTTTTAATATGTTTTTATAATGAGATCTGACTGGTTCTATCATGTGTCTCAGGTTCTTTGCCATGTCTTAAATCACAGGGCTGTTATTCACCCCAGGGTCATGTTAGCAACACCTGTTTCCCCTTTTTCTACATATACAAAATTCTTTATTTTCTTCTTTTTTTCCTTCTTTAGACATAGCTCCTCACTGCCAACAGTTTCTCTTATCTGTTACAGTTGCTTTAGAATCTTACATCTGCTTTCCAAGTTATTGATCTGTCCACCATATTTACTACCAGTTCTGATTTTCTACAACAGAATGATAGGTTTTAAGTCTCTTTGTTGAGGCTTGTTCTAAGTAAGGCACCATTTGATTCAGCCTTATGGGAAATACACCCTTTGACTATGACTTCTACCTATAGTAATCATTTCATTCTAAACTGATGAGAATGGAGTTTGTGGCAGACAATCTTATGTGGGATTATCTCCTTTTTGTTGAATGCAAATCTGTTTGCATTCCCTCCTGCATATTGCCAGACTGCTTATTTTCAATTGTTGAGATTCCCAGATTAAGTATTTTCAGTGGTTGAAATTAATTGATAGCTTTTGAATTTCCAGGATTTTTTCTAATGAAGTTCTGCCAAACATGAGGTCCCCAAAATAACCACTAGTGACTTTACTATATAGCACTTGCTTATTTCTGGCTCAGGTTCAGTTGATTGGAACACATCAAACTTTTAAAGTTCATCTTCCATCAAGCTCTCCCTATCCAGTTTCATCTTTTATCCCTGGACTGTTCTCCATAACTCCCTTAGGACTATCACCCCCTTCCATTGACATGGGCATAACTGATATGAATTTGTTCCAGGTCACAATTCGGGTTTGCAGCAAAAATGCTTTCAGAACAGACAGCAGCCCTGGGTACAGGATGGGAGTCAATGAATGTCCAGCTGGATAGAACACAGCCCCAGGTGGAAAGGGGAAGCCAGGAAGAGGGGCCATGGAGAACAGCTCCAGGGCCATTGGAGCACCTGTGCTGTGACCTTGAAGAGGAGCCACAGTCCCTTCAGGAGAAGGGTGAGAGCCCGTAGGGGGTGTGTGGGAAGCACAGCGCAGAGAATAATCTTCTAATCTCTATTGAAAAAGTAGAATTAAAAACCTCCAAATTGCCATGGACTGACTGAACAGCACAGTTAGTACCAGGACCAGGCCACAGAAATAGAAAGAACTTACAGGCCCTAGTCAGAAAAATATAAGGAGCATCTGGGTTCTGCAAACCATGTGACTGGGTTTCTCCCATTTCTTACATAATCACTCCCTCCACCTGTTACATGGTTAGTGGTAACAAATATGGGAGACAAAGGAAGTGACAGAAACACTGACTGCCACTGGAAAACACACCCAGTAAAACGCACTTTACAAGATGAAAATTACATTTGAATAATATAAATTCAAACCACAGCTAGTTTAGTAGAAATGAATGACATAAATGCTCTACTAAAAACCACTCAATACCCTTTCAGAACATTTGAGGGAAGGTCTCTTCTACTACAGTACATTTATGCATTTGAGTCTTACCAGTGGACATAGATATAGGGGAAAAAATATGACACTTAAGGCCCACTATAATAGGGCCCAGGCTCTAACTGGAGAAAGATGGATGCTCCATCTCTAATGGTTCCTCTCTCCCCTCACCAGCTCAGTCCACTCCCTGGGTTCCTGCCATTCCCCAGGAAGGGAGCACTGGAGATTGGGAGATGGCAGCTGCACTTCTTGCAGCAGGATCACAGGTGGGCTATGTTCTTCTCTTGGCCTCTCTCAAGGTCTCGTCACTGCTGCCTTTCTGTAGCCTTTGTGTCATTCTGTTGGGCTTCCCTGGGGGCTCAGATGGTAAAGAATCTTCCTGCAATGCGGGAGACCTGAATTTGATCCCTGGATTGGGAAGATCCCTTGGAGAAGGGAACAGCTACCCACTCTGGTATTCTGGCCTGGAAAATTCCATGGACAGAGGAGCCTGGCAGGCTACAGTCCATGGGGTTGTAAAGAGTCAGACATGACTGAGCAACTTTTACTTCACTTCACTTAATTTATTTGTCATTTCACTTGATCACTATTGTTATTTAGTCTGATATCTGCAAAGATTCTATCCCTTTCTAAGGGACTCATACCCTTTTGAAAAATGAATGGAGACATGATGAGAAGAAGAAAATTGCTACAGATTGAGTTTGTTTTGTTTTTGATAGCTGTGCTAGCCACAGGGAGAATTTAAGAAAAATTCATTAATGTTCATTAAGAAATAAATCATAGGCTTTCCTGGTTGTCCAGTGCTTAAGAATCTACCTGCCAATGAAGGGGACACAGGTTCAATCCCTGGTCTGGGAAGATTCCACATGCCATGGGGCAACAAAGCCCAAAAGCTTCACAACTGCTGAAGCCCATGCACCCTAGAGCCTGAGCTCAACAACAAGAGAAGCTACTGCAATGAGAAGCCCATTCACCACAACTGGAGAGTAGCCCCCTGCTCACAACTAGAGAAAGCCCATGCACAGCACCAAAGATGCAGCACAGCACCAAAGATGCAGCACAGCCAAAAATAAATTATTTTAAATTTAAAAAAAGAAATCTGGAAAGATTAGGAAAAGAAGACTTGAAGGAAGCTTGGAAGAGCATAAAGTAGACTGAATTAAGTGGATGATGGAGCATTTATGGACATGAATAGAGGACAGAAAGGTATGAAGAGGGGCAGCACCAGAGAAAGAAAACAAGTTTAGATTCAGAAGGCAAGGGGAGAGCCACGGGAAGTTAGTAATAATAGTAGCTGTAGTATCCGTACTCCAGAGTGCTGACCATGCTTGCTGTTCTCTGAGTGCTTTATGTACATTAACTCGTTTAACCCTGAGAGAAACACAGTTATCCCCAGACAAGAAAATTGGACAGGAAGAGATTAAGGCACTTGTGTAAGGTCATACTGCTAATGTTAAGTGACAGAGCTAGGAGTCATCTGGCTCCAGAATCTGGGCTCCTAACTGCCAGACTATGCTGCCTTAAAAGATAGGATATGGCATAATAGGGGGAGGAGGCCAGAAAGAACAGTTTATCCATATTGTTTCGTGCAGATAGGAAAGGAAAGGTCAAGGAGAGAAAGGAGGAACTTGTACACAATTTCTGCAGTGAAGAGAGGCAGAGAAGAGACTGGGCAGACACGTGTAACTACACAGAGGGACCAGTGAGTGCCTCCAACTTCTCATGGTCCCAACTTGGGAATCTCCTCTGCAGACATTATTGCTCACACCCTGACCATTACTTTTACCCCTTTCCTCTTCACCAAAATCATGTTCCCTGCCCAGGAACCTCTGGGCAGTTCTCTTTCTAGACCCTCTCTTGCCACCTCTCCTCTACCACCACCTCAGCCTTTTATACTGAGACCCCGTTTTCCTTAAAGAACAGCTGCTGACCAATGATGCTGCATTTTGTTTCAGGGCCTGGTAACCATCAAGGATGTATCACTGTGCTTCTCTCAGGAGGAGTGGCGGAGCCTGGACCCTTCTCAGACAGACTTCTATGGAGAATATGTCATGCAGGAAAACTGTGGGATAGTGGTGTCTCTGAGTAAGCACGACCTTCCCCAGCCACTCAGTGACTGTACTCTGGGAGAGTGGAGCCATCTGCTCTGGGACTGTTGCATAGTGTCCATTTGGGGTTCTTTTCTTGGCAGGGAATCTGTCTAGGTTTCCACTAGGGAAAGAGCACTAGGGTTAATCCAAAGAGAATAGAAGTGTCACTTTTTAAAAAACAACAAAATGCTGTGAATTATTAGAGAACTGTAGGCAATTCTTGGTTGGGAATTGGGAGGTTCTTTCAGAGAGAAGGACACCTAAGGAGTGGAACTGAGTCCTTGGGAACTCAGAAACCATCTAGGGAAAGATGAGAGTGGGGGTGGGGGTGAGACAGCTGTAGTAGGGCTAATTAAGTGAAGTTATGACCAGAAAGAACAGTTGAGCTGAAAGTATTTGAAATTCACACAAAAGAGAACACTTGTTGGAAAGAGAGTATGATTTTCTGAAAGAAAAGGGGACTTCACAGAAATGGGAGTGGGGAGAGGGAAAGGCTTGTTCTATCTGGCCTTCTTTATCTATAGAGTTCCAAGGAATAATTTAGGAAACAGCTTTTTTCAGAAATGAAAATTACAGTTGAACAAACTGACATCCCTGTTTTCTTTTCCCATGGTCAGGATTTCCAATTCCCAAACTGGATATGCTTTCTCAACTAGAAGGAGGGGAAGAACAATGGGTCCCCGAACCCCCAGACTTAGAAGAGAGGGACATTCTGAAGGTCACATACACAGGTAATGATGTATGATAGACTCAGCCACGACCTTCGCCCCTTTTGGAGGTCATCATTACATGTCCCTCCAACCCCTCCTCTGCCTCAGACAGTTATAGCATTGAATGGTTCAGAGATCTTTTTCTTCAAAGGCAAGACAGTGTAACATAATAATTTAGAGGGCAGGCTCTAGAGCCAAACTTTGTGGATCTGAATCTAGGACCACACCTGTGGAACCTTGGAAAAGTAATTAACTTCTCTTTGGGTTCCTCATCTATAAATTATTATGAGATTTAAATATGTTACCATAGTCGAACAGTACCAGGCACATAGTAAGCACTCAATAAATGTTAGTCATTGTTGTTCAACCTGCCACCCATTGTGGAAATGCCTTCCACAAGGTCTCCAGTGTTGCTGACAAGGTGTCCCCTGGCCAGTGATTTCAGACCATTCCTCACCTCTCTTCATGGTGATGGTGATTAACAGTTTTCTTTGAGTGCTAAATAAATAATAGTAATAAATAGATAACAACAACAGCATAGACTGTTTAATAGAAGGTACTATCCTATCTGTCTTATAACATCTACCTTATAATTATTCCCATTTTACAGAAGAAGAAATGAAGGCTTACAGAAGTGTAGTGGGAAAACAGATTTTGTGGGTATCTGTCTCCAAAGTCTAAGCTTTAACCACTGTACCTATTATACTGTCTTGTACAACATTAAAATCTGTCTCTCAGCCCTTATGGGGTGAGGTTTAGACCCTAATAGGCATCATACAGCCTCATTTGTGACTCAGTCCTGGACTGCTCCCTTGTGACTCACCTCCTGGGGTCCGTGTTGTCCTTTTTCCACAGGAGATGGAAGTGAGCACGAGGGGGATACCCCTGAACTAGAAGCAGAGCCTCCTAGAATGTTATCTAGTGTGTCTGAAAATACTGTTCTCTGGAACCCAGCGCAGGATGTGAACTGGGATTCCATGCCCAGAAGCTCCAGAGGCATGCTCCTGGGCCCACCTTTTCTTCAGGAAGATAGCTTCTCAAACCTGTGTAGCACAGAAATGGATTCCCTGTTAAGACCACACACGTGCCCGCAGTGTGGTAAACAGTTTGTGTGGGGCTCCCACCTGGCCAGGCACCAGCAGACACACACCGGGGAGAGGCCCTACAGCTGCCTCAAGTGTGAGAAGAGCTTTGGGAGAAGACATCACCTGATCCGACACCAGAAAACCCACCTACATGACAAGCCCAGCAGGTGCCCTGAGTGTGGCAAGAATTTCCGATGCAACTCCCATCTAGCCAGCCACCAGAGAGTGCATGCAGATGGCAAATCCTGCAAGGGCCAAGAGGCTGGAGAGAGCCCTGGGGCTAGGAAGCGGCAGCGCGCGCCACCCGTGCCCAAGTGCCACGTGTGCACCGAGTGTGGGAAGAGCTTTGGCCGGCGGCACCACCTGGTGAGACACTGGCTGACACACACCGGGGAGAAGCCCTTCCAGTGCCCGCGCTGTGAGAAGAGCTTCGGCCGTAAACACCACCTGGACAGGCACCTGCTGACCCACCAGGGACAGAGTCCCCGGAGCAGCTGGGACAGAGGGACAGCTGTCTTTTGAAATCTATTTCTGCTGCAGCTGTAGTCACATCTGTCAGCCGGTGCTACCAGGGGTCTCTGCCAGAGCTGCCCCTCTCCTGCACCCCCATGGTCAGAATCACGAGTCCTGGCCCCATCCCTACAGAGATGCCGTTCCAGCATTAGCCGGAGCCTTTCTCCCCAGTTCTGTGAGAGGCCACATAAAGTAGAGTTCTTTGGGCAAAACTTTTGGGAAACGCTGCTTACTGGGTGGGCTGATATTCAGCCTGATCCCGTTCTCCAGGGTACAGTGGTACCAGCAGTTTGTGGCTAAGGCCCGTTCTGATTGGTTGAAACCTGTGCCATACCAGTTGTTAAATATTTTGAGTATCACCCTTCTATAACGTAACTATTCTCTCTCTATATATATATAGAGAGAGAAAACACATACTAGCTTATTAAAGGCTCGAAAATTTATGCATTAGAGCAAATGGTTAAGCCTTTCTTACTGCAGTGTTTCCTAAATTTAGTTGACCTCAGTATCCTTTCTGTCTCGCATCTCACAGAACTGGTGACTCCTTGAACCACACTGGTGAACACTGGGTTAGAGAGGAATAAGGAAACAGGAGAGAGAGAGTGATCAGGCACCCAGAGCCCCCTTTTTTATCCAAATGAAAGCTGAGGGGCAGACCTCATTCCTGTGTGGGCCCATCACCCCTACTCCAGTCATCTGAATATACATCCACACCTCTCACCCCACCTGCTGAAAAACAAAGAGTAACCTTCTCACCCCCTGTTCCTGCTCCCTTCACCCTGCATATACATATATCTAGCTGAGAGATCGCACTACAGTGTTAAGAGATGGACCTTATACCCCCAGGTAACCCAGGCCCACACAGAAGAAAAATACTTTATTCCCTTGAACAGACCCCTCTCCTCTTGACAGTGTCTGTATGTGTCTGTGTGTCTGTGTGCAGGGTCTTTGAAGAGAGCATGCAAAGTACAAACTGTATAAGCTAGATTTTCTAGGGGCTATATTCTGGGGATGAGGGTAGTGGGAATTGTATGGGGTTTTTGGTTTGGTTTGTTTCAAGGTAATAAGCAAGCTGAGAGATTCAGGGAGCCCTAGTAAAAAGGCTTAAGTTTTGGGGGTTGAGGTATACAGCCTTCCCCAGTATCACTGAGATCAAGACAACTTGGGTATGTAAGTCTAGGTCTGAATCTCTGGGCCACAGATTGTTTTTGCCTAAGTGGAGAGAGAGACATCCTCTGTGAGGTGAGCTATGTCTTATTAATTTCAAGTCAGGTGCATATAGCAGCTTTGTGCTGAGTGGGTTTTGGGGTCTTGTCTTAAGTAGTGAGAAGTTACGGCAGGAGTCACAGTGCTTGCAGGTTGTTGTCAACACTCTTGTCTGACCTTGATTGCCTCATCAAGGGGCAGAGTCATTCTTTCGGATCTCATTCCCCTAAATAGAACTTTAGGGAAAATGGCTGTGACTTAACTATGCTGCTGATGCAGGGTAATGAGCTTTCTGGTTGGTTCTCCTCCCAGTTCTGGGAAAATGTCTGCACTGACTCTTAACATGCATAAGTATTCTAGCATCTGTTAATGCATTGGTCATTGTTTCTCTTTATTGATGATGTGTTAATACCAGTCTTATAATTTAAAAATTACCTTGTATGTAAGAATAGCTTGTGGGTAGGGAGGGAGAAAAGCAAAGAAGATGGAAGTGGGATATTTTCTCTTTAATGCTTAGATTGTGGTTTTTCCTTAACACACTTGTTTCTCAACCACAGTTGGTGGAATTAACCAGAAAGACAAGAGGAAGTGAGCTGCAACAATCTAGTTTAATGGCTTTTCCACTTGCTTAGGAAAAACTGAGTGAATCATAGCTCCTCAGAGTCCTGGGCCCAAATGGAGTCGATAATAGAGTCATTTTACTGACTGGGCTTCTTACAGTGGATATAAGTTGAGCAATCCAGCCCCTACCTCCCTTCTGCTCAGGGCAGCCTTCCCATTTTGCCTAGAATGCACTTCTCTTGCTTACGTTCCTATGAATAGAGCAAAATGGCCAGCCATTTGTAAGGCATCCTTGTCCCAGGTCCTCTGAGACAGGAGCATTTTAGGATCAGTATTGAGACACACCCCAGGGCATAGAAAAATACTGGATTCCATTGGCAAAACTGAATGATGCCATTTCTTTTACCTTCTACTATGCCTCATACATTAACACAATCAGCTCTATGTGAGCATCGTCCAGAACCTGTTTTGGATCACAGACCCTTTTGAGAACCTGATAAAAAACAGAAACTCACTTTTGAGAAGAAAAGACATTGGTAGTTCACTCACATTTAGCAGGGTCAGAGCCCATCCATGGAATCACTAAATGGGGGTCAAAGAGAGGGAGTTACCCTGATCCGATATGGTCATTATATATTTGTGTCAAGAATTACACGGCAAGGATCTCTAAACATTTTAAGGACTAAGATACCAGATGCAGTAGGATATCAGGAGAGTGTTCAGTCTTTAATGATTTGAAAGGTATTGCTTACACTCTGTGCTTTCTTAAAAATTTATATGACTTGCTGACAAATCCAGTTTCTCACAAACCTTTTTTTTTTAAAGACTTGTATGAGGTGAGCCTCCATACCGTCAGATCACACCTCTTCAAAAACCAGGCATTAACCTCCAGCCTTTGATCTCTTGTAATTTTGAGGGAAAATGAAGCCCCCAAAGTGTAGGTGTGCTCAGCATTGTGGAATCTAAGGGCATTTGGCAGAAGGGACATCCCTTTAGGTCATTTCTACTGTACCACTGTCTTCTCTACCTCTGTCCAACACCACTTCCCTCGGACAAAAAATAAAGTAAGCGACAGCCATCAGCTGTATAAAGAGATTTGAGTGATTTTTCCCTCAGGGAAAACTCCCATCTTCCTCCTAACTCCCTCTGCCACGTGTCTACCCTACCCTACCCCCTTTAAATAAAAAAATGTCTCCGTGTTCTCTGGACAAGATGTAAAATAGGGAAGTCTGTCTTTAGGAACCTGTCCCCTTTTTTCCTCTGTGTGGTGCCTCTACCCTATTCAGAACCCAAGTATCCCTGCCTTTCCACCCCATTAGGGTATCTCTGCAAAGAATCCCTTACAGTGGAGACTACAGCCAAAGGGTTGACTTTCCCAGAGCTATCTACATTTTAAGCTGTAGTTCTGATAGTGGAAGAAGGGAAAATTTCCTTGTTAAAATGATGTTATGCATTCAGGGAGCAAAGAGGTGATAATTTGGGATAAAATCCTCCCCTTTCCAGCACTCCTACAATCAAATCACTATTTCTTGTTTCCATCAAGGGCAAAGTGAGCCCTGACTCAGAACCAGAGGTTCCAGAGAACAAGTTCTTTCCAGCTCTGTTCAGTTGAGTGCTCTGGATGGGGGTAAACGGGGCTGGGCAACAACAAAAAGTGAAACCTGTTCCCTTGGATCCCTTAGAGATTCTGAGATGGCAAAATTTATGGGTCTCAAATGAATCTCTGGACAAGCAACATCAACATCATCTAGAAGAAGTTATCTTAGAAATGCAATTTTTCACCCTGGACAAACATTCAAAAACTGTGGGAATGGAATCCAGCAATTGGTCTTTAACCTGCCTTCCAGGCTATTTGATGTGGACCCAAGTGTGGGATGGAACAAACGGAACCAATGGCTAGGAGATCCAGATTCCATTTTAACCAGTGGTTCCTCACCCTCTTCAAATAGGGAGAGATGGAATCTTGACACCTGTGTTCTCAGATTTATTTTCTGCAAAATCCTAGGATAGTTGCTCCTCAGTTCAATTCCTCTTGAGTCCCAAGGTATTCCACTATACTTAAGTCGGGAAAAGAACTGGGTTAGTCACCAATTTCAGAAACTGGTGGGGTAACTACTAAGCTTCTGTAATTGGTTGAGGCTGGAGCTTCTAAAACTGAGGTTTCACCAGTCTAGAAATCTAAAAAGACAAAAATGAGCAGACATCTCAAAGAAGGTAAATCCAACATAAAAATGGACATCCAAAGAAATGGTCCTCCTTACCTGGTCCTTTTCAGGCCTAATATCAGTTGCCCTGCAGGCAAAGGGGTGGGCATTTACTCAGCACAGAGGCAGAGTAAGGCCATCTGTCCCAAGCCCCTAAGGACCCAAGTATTCTTACCTCACAATTGCACTGAAGACCAATAAGGTGCCATGCAAAGAATTTCTCACCATGATTTGGCCAACCCTGTGGGCAAGGGCAGCAGGAGGATCAGAGAAACCCCCAGGACATAAGAGGAAACCAGGCTCATTTAGCAAGATATGACATGAAATCTGAACCTAGACTGTTCACTAGGTAGATGTTGTAACTAATTAAGCCACAGTGCCTATATCAAAAATGTATTCTGCTTTGAAGATTCTGTCTTGGCCCTGATACCTCCTTCACCCTCTGTCCTAGACATACCCATGAGGATCCTTGCAAACCTGCTACCTCTTTGGGGCTCTGCAAGGTCAAAAGATTAGCATGAACCCCGGTCTCTTTGGAGATCATTGGCTTCTCCTAAGGCAGAGAAACTCTAGGCCTCAGGCTCTACCTCTCTCCTGTCACTGCCTCCATCTGTCCAATAAACAGCTCTTCTTCCACTCTTCACTCCCACTTCTCTTTCATTTGGTTTGGTTCTCTCTTGTTTTTCCTGGGGAATGCCACACCTTCCCAAGGGCATTTGTTTTTCCCAATTCCTTCCCAATTTCCTACCCTTCTTCCATTATAGTTTCTCTCTTCCAGTTTCTAGCCAGTTCCATTCTATTGTGAGCCTACTTGCTACTTGTACCTCTGCCTATTGTCCAGTTTCTTTTCTTTCATCTTCAAGCCTACTAAGAAGGGTCCTTTCGTCACACTTCCCACTTTCTTCCCTCAGATTCTTGGCTTCACTGTAGCAGCTCAGCTACCATCACCCTATTCTACCCCTCTCTCTTGTACATACCTTCCCACATCTGGACTTGGCCAAGGTTGCCTGTACTGCCAAACCCAGGCCCTTTACACCCTCCCTACAGACTGTTCTTCCCTTGATGCAGTTTCCAAAACAGTCCCCTCCTGTCTCTTTTGGCTCCTGAGAATAAGCTTCAATTCTACAAGCCATTTTTTGTGTGCTTACTATGTGCCAGGTGTGGGCTGTTCCAGGCCTGGAGGATTGAGTACGGCCATGGTCCCCATACTCAGCATCCTCCTCAGCTGACCCCTCCCTTGCTAGCACTTTGCTGCCATACCTCAGAACACCATGCATCAGGCAGCCTCAGGGGTGTGTACCCACTGGCCATCCAGCCCAACTTCAGACTTCTAGCTATTGTCTGACTTAGTTCCCTCTGATGGACAGTGAACTTCTATGGATCATCCAACCAGGGACCTTCATCTCTACCTATAGAGATCTATAATCTACTCTTCATGGTCCCTGTCAGTTGAATAAAGAATGTACTGGCTGTGTCACTGGCTTCCTCTCTCCATCCTCTCCTCTCCCCTCCATTCTCAGCTCTTCTTTTCTGATACAACAAAGTGGGGAACACCAGACAGCTCTAGGGGGAGTCACACAGCCATGCAGGAGTCCCCTTGCTGCCCTTCCTGAAAGAAACACCTTACGGTGCCCACGTTAGGTCTTCCCACCTCCCTCCCTCGTGACTTGGCTCCCAGATGTCACTTCCATCATCTGGGGACGCACCCCATCCTGGAGACTGAGGGAGCAGAGTGCTGAGGAGGCCAGGCCAAGGGTGAGGGAACAAGGGCCTTGCACACAAATATAAGGAGGCCTTCCATCTCAGGGTCGATTAAGTGCTGACCCACTCTTGGGAGACCCTTAAAGTGCTGAGCCTAAGTCTGGAACCTGAGATGGTGACTGAATTGACCTCCCAAGACAAATTCACAATTACTGGAAGTTTGGGGGGACCCAGAAAAAACCTGCACAATTGAGTCCACCAGATACATTCACCGTTTAGGGTGAAGAGGATGGGCATAGGGTATCAAGAGGCCAGGGTGAGAAACAACATGGGGAAAAAATCATGGAAAACTGGCCTAGGGGAAACCAACCAGCCTGTGACCCACTGACATGGCCTCTTACCCATGTAGCTTCACTGGGATGGGGGCAGGAAACCACTCTGCAGGCACTGGGTACACCCCAAAGGCTTTGCTCTTCTCCATGGGAGTTGCCTTCAAGAGCTTCAGTCCTACTGCTTAGGGGTGATGTGTCTCTGCAGCTTTCTTAACACCAGCCAGGCTGTTTGCCACCTGCCTTGTGCTCCATGTGCTTCCTTATTTTCGATCATTCACTCTTAATTCCCCCCAGTCACTTGGAATAAAGCTTTCGGCATGTCTAGCCTCTCCGTGAACCAACACAGGGAAGAGGCAAGGAACTGACAAGAGGAGGAGGAGAAACACAACTGTGACTGTTCATTGATGGGCCTGTTCTCTCTGCCAACTCCAGTGGACTACTGACATCCTGACTTCGTTCTTCTTACCATATCGATGTCTTTCCTAGCATTGACAGGACTCAGGCTAACACCCCCTCGGCCAGTCTTCAGTTCCTCTCTTCCAAATCCTTTGGCTTTCTTTGAGCCCCTTTCAGCATGGTGTCCCTCTATCAATTCCCCAAATGGCCTATCTTCCTGTCCTTACTAGGCACTTATGTTTTGGATGAATCTGCAGTCCAACCAGACAGCCTTGCCATGTTACAGATCCCCAGAGGAGAAGGAAGAACAGGAGAAATTTAACCAAACAGGAGATATTTAACCAAAGTTAAATATCCAAATATGCCACCAGAATGTGAGCACTAAAAAGTGGGGATTATGTTTTATCCATCTTTATTCTCAGCAAAACATCCAGAATCTTGCAGACACTTAATCACCAATGAACAGTAGGGATGAAGTGAGCTATTCTTTGCCATTTCTCCACAGAAGTATCCAGTTAGAATCATGACCTAAACAATCTGAATGGCCTACCTACGAGTTAAGATCATGCCTTATATTTAATCAGAGTACAGTCACCCTAAAGCTTATCAATGAAAATAATCTGAAATGACCATTGTTAGCTATGTAAATTATATAAATAATTTACTTAATTTGGTAAGTTTATAAGATTAATAACATTTGCTTAGATGAAGAAAAACATAATACAAACAGAAGCATGAAGATTCCTAGGAAATATAGAAAACAAGTTGTTGCCAGTGTCCTTCCCATCCTAATTTAGGGGAAAGGGATTTCTAATTTGAGACAATCTTGTTGGTCTCAAAACATCCTGTTGGTCATAAAAACATCCTGGAACTATAAAGGGGCAGTAACATCTGGCGATCATACAGGCATTTGATTAGTTTGTTCTAATCGTGTTCAGTAGACAATGTTTCTCTCTGCCTTTTCTTCAGGTGGCTATTTTCTGATTGTTTGCTTCATTCTGCCTCTTACAGACATTTCAAGTGCATAGTAAAACTAATTACAGCTGGGGGAGATTTCAAAGTTCAGATCATCTATAGATGAAATACAGGGCATGCGTTTTGCTGTTACATTGTATAGGCTTAAAGGAGTGATCCTCATTTAAAGGTGCAAGTGAATATTAGCATCACTTGTTTGTTTTAAATATAAATCCCGTGCCCCCTTATAAAAGATACCAGAATTTTCTGGGGAAAGTTTGGTCAGGTATACTGTAAAAAGCTCTGATATTTACTTCCCAAAGAACCATTTCTGTGTCCTGTCCTGGCCAACGGCATGAGAACTCTTCTCATAGTGGGCTTTATGCCTGCTTTCAGAACCCAAAGAAATCATATATTTGCTCCAATTTGGTATACAGTGCTTAGCACATGTGTTTTGAGAAGAGCAAAGATCTAGTTATTCATTATTTGGCCTTCCCCATCTTCTTTTATTTCTGATATGCATTCTGTATATCTTAGTAGTTTCCTCCCTATGAGCTAGTGCTTTCCCAGCTGATAATTCCCTTAAGCATACACCATGATATCTAAGTCCCTCTCATCATTTTACGGA